GCCACTTAGAAAGGGAGATGCGTGCGAAGAAGGGGTGGACCCATGCATATATTATAACTAAAGAGAAACGCAATTAGGTACTGTTCTGGCGCATTCGGGTGTGAGGCAGAAGAACGCGCGTGATAATAACAGACAAAGCAGAGCGGATCGGTGATGATCAGGTGGGGAAAAAAAGGATTTCCGAGATAGTAAAACAAATCAATTTGTATTTATGTTAACTGTTTGATGCGTATGAAATGTTGTAAGTGTAACAAGTTATAAATCTGTGTGTTGAAAGGGAAGAAGATGGCCACGATATAAATTGGACTACGGCTGAAAATGGGAATTAAAATGGACGTTGGAAGCGACGGCCAAGAATGCGGAGGACTCGAAATAGGAAAGTATTAAAATTGGACATAAAATCTGTGGTAATGTAAGAACACTAGTTTGTAGATAGATCTTAATAAATTTTCATAAAATAATAATAGGAATGGCCAATGCTTGCAGAGAGAAGTAGGGGAAATTATTAAATAACGACAGGGTTATATTGACATTGACCTTGGAAATTGTTATTCAGAAATGGCCATGATGTTTTGTTTGTTTGTGTTGTGTAGCAGGAAAACCAGGAATACAATGTTACTAGATGGTTTTGAAACGGTTTAATTACTAGTACTATATTACTTAGTATTATTATTGGTAATGGTAGGAAATTTCCCTAAATCCCAAATATAAAGAATTTTATGTAAAATATAAAGAATATTATATGGTCAATAGCTTATTGAAGATCTAAAAATATTTCACATGGTTGCTTCAATTTTGTTCCATTGATGGAAGCAACATCTTTTAAGAAAAAGAAAAAATGACAGTTTCCAGTAGATTTTGAATTGTTTTTATAAACCGTGATTGTAGTGTCTGAAACGCCTTCCTTGTTTCCTGAACAAAAGTTTTCATTCGTGTATAGAAAAGACTCTAATATTTTTGAGAATAACTGACAAAAGAAGAAATTGGACGTGATATTGAAACTTCTTATTTGTTCCCCTTTGTAAAAACATGGCTTAATTTTTTGCAATGTTTTTGAAAAATCTGGAAAAGTACTCCTGTGCATAAAAGAAGCATTGGAAAATGGAATTTCGGTCGTGCATAGGCCCGCAGGGTAGCAAGTTTTCAATAAACAGTTACGAGGAAATTCATCTAATCCAGTCGAATATTTTTTTTAGTTTACTGACTATTCTCCAGGATTTTGTTAGATGCGGAAATAAAATGTAGTGAACGAATTATTTTGGAAGCGAACCGATGTTGATCACTGACGGATCCAGGAGGGGGCTTGGCAGGCCATGCCCGCCCCCCCCCCAAGACCAAATTTTCGATTTACCTTCATTATATGACAAAGTTGATTTAAATATTATTTATGTAATTTATGTTAACAATACTATTGGCATAGTATATCTACAGTACTTACGAGTAAATAAATATCAATATGATAAATATACTTTATCTTAACAAAAATCATATAATGACCACCCAAATGATACGCGCTGATTCCGCCCCTGTGTTGAATTCTTGTTTGATTTAGTTTAGGAAATTCATATAAACAGATGATATTTATTTTTTAGTTTACTTGACTATTCTCAGGATTTTTGTTAGAAGGTTCGCGAAATAACATCCGGTTTGAAAATATTTGGGAAAGGAGTTATGTTGAATTTTGTGCATTTTAGTGCCATTCGTGAGTTCAGTGATATCGTCTTCTCTTTTTT